AAAAGGGCTGCGGATGAACAGAGGACGCAGTGTCTCGAATGCATTCGGCTAGTTAATCTGAATGTACCGTCTGTTGTGTAGGCGCAGTGCCATACTGAGAGGCTACTGTAAAATAAACGTGGGTATCGCGCATTGAATTGAGAAAACACCCAATGACATGTTCGAGTAAGTAGCAAATGGGTTAGTTATTTTATGCAGTGCATGCGAATGTTGTTGTTTCTACACAACCGTATGCTAATGTTTGACCGTTGACTTTTACCGTTTTTCTTGCATCACAGTGCAGTAGTAGGTTGTTGAGGTGTTAACAACACGCATGCAACTGCGATTGCATCCCCAAACCGCACTGATGACATCGACATTCTCTGTTTGCTCTGTCCCGGTGTGCACAAATGCACGTTCAGCACTGAGGATCAGATTGGCGCGTGTTGTAGTTTTACTTTGTGCACGTTCTGCATGCAAATCCCATCTTTCTTAAAGAGTTTACTTTATTTAAATGACAAAATGCATGTATTTTTTTGCACATTTGCATTGGTTTATGCAGTGTAGATGCCAGCAGCTGAAGCTCGCGGCATTAGTATTTTTTTTAGCTTCAGCATTAGACCGCCCGTTCATTCTAGTTGACGTTTGCTGTAGCGATATCCGATTCAATTGAGTCGAATCTTTTAAATGAATTGATCGAACCGGTCCATAAAATCAGGCTGACCGACTCGTTCACCTATTTAACTAAATCGTTCCAAGCGGTTCTGGAGTCAACAACTCATTGATTCATTGAGCTGAGAACACGTGTCCGATTCGTGATGTGCAGAGAATCGATGTGTGAGTTGATAGAGCATTTAGAGTAAAGCGAGGATTTAAATAATCTACCAAAATTACTTCTTAACAAATTTGATGAATCAATGTGATTTATTATTTGATTGAATGACAATTTAATCAAAAGAAAAGGAGTGGCTGTCAATAAATAACATTTGCGATCAGGGATGTAATGGTATGAAAATGTCTTATCACGATTATAGTGACCAAAATTATCACGGTTATCAGTATTATCACGGTATTGTTAAAATGTGCTGGAAATGTTCAAAAAGTACTGACACAAATCATTTCACCAAGTTTTACATTTAAAATCAACAAACAACAAATAAAATGAGTTTTTGTTTGCATAACTAAAACAATAACATTACCAATGATGTTCGGATTTTAAATGACAACGATATCCGATTCAATTGAGTCGAATCTTTTAAATGAATTGATCGAACCGGTCCATAAAACCAGGCTGTCCGACTCGTTCACCTATTTAACTAAATCGTTCCAAGCGGTTCTGGAGTCAACAACTCATTGATTCATTGAGCTGAGAACACGTGTCCGATTCGTGATGTGCAGAGAATCGATGTGTGAGTTGATAGAGCATTTAGAGTAAAGCGAGGATTTAAATAATCTACCAAAATTACTTCTTAACAAATTTGATGAATCAATGTGATTTATTATTTGATTGAATGACAATTTAATCAAAAGAAAAGGAGTGGCTGTCAATAAATAACATTTGCGATCAGGGATGTAATGGTATGAAAATGTCTTATCACGATTATAGTGACCAAAATTATCACGGTTATCAGTATTATCACGGTATTGTTAAAATGTGCTGGAAATGTTCAAAAAGTACTGACACACACCATTTCACCAAGTTTTACAT